AGGGAGGGAGGGAGGGAGGGGTGAGAGGAGGAAGGGAAAAAAGTTGGCAGGCCAACAGCAGAGCTGTGTCTGCATCCATTGCAGAGAGGAGGCCCGTGCGGTGTGGGGCGGGCCAGGAGCAAGGAGAGGCCTTCCTCCCTTTGTGCTCCCCCTCCTCGCCTCCCCCCCCCCGGGGGGCCCTATAAATAGGCCCAGCCCGGGCTGTGGCTCAGCTCTCAGAGGGAGTCGAGCACCAGGCAGCGGTCTCCAGCCAAGCCCCCTGCCAGCATGGCCAGTGAGTTCAAGAAGAAGCTCTTCTGGAGGGCGGTGGTGGCCGAGTTCCTGGCCATGATCCTCTTCATTGTCATCAGCATCGGCTCTGCCCTGGGCTTCAATTTCCCCGTGAAGAACAACCAAACGTCAGGTGCAACTCAGGACAATGTGAAGGTGTCGCTGGCCTTTGGTCTGAGCATCGCCACGATGGCCCAGAGCGTGGGCCACATCAGCGGCGCCCACCTCAACCCGGCCGTCACCCTGGGGCTGCTGCTCAGCTGCCAGATCAGCGTCCTTCGGGCTGTCCTGTACATCATCGCCCAGTGTGTGGGGGCCATCGTCGCCACCGCCATCCTCTCGGGCATCACCTCTTCCCTGCCCAACAACTCACTGGGCAGCAATGGGGTGAGTAGGGTGCTGACATGGCACCAGTCTCGTCCTCCACCCATTGTGCAGATGGGGACACTAAGGGACAGAGAGGACGAGGGGTTGCTGGAGGTCATGCAGAGTGGGGGCTGGAACTCAGCTCCACATGCAGCCCAGAGCCTGTTTCCTGCCAGGCACTGTGGGAAGCTGAGGCCCAGAGAAAAACAGTCTTGCCAACGTCCCCTGAGGGCATCTATTGTGGGGACTAAGCCCTGGAGGCAGCTAATGCTTGGGCCAGCAGTTCCTCACCTCTCGCCTGTCGTTTCTGGCCCCCCTCAGCCCTGCCTGTGCAGCCAGCTCCCTCCTCCTGCAGCCTGGACCCCGGGGAAACTCTGCCCCTGCCCCCAGCCTCCCCGAACCAGATGCCTGGCAGCCAGGTCTGCAGGTGTGTGGGCAGGACTCATGTGGGGGCCCCACTGACCTCCAGGGAGCCCCACATTCACACGGGTCTGCAAACAAACTGCCTTCAGGGAAATCCCCTTCCGCTCCTCCGGCGCCAGAAATCGGACAGAGTGGGGGTAGAAAATCCTTCCTGGGCTGTTTGCAGGTGGTTTTCCTGGACTGCAGGGCGGCCAGGGCTGGGACATCTTGCCTCCTGTCTGTGCTCCACTCTGTCGCTGGGCACTGAGAGGTGTGGCTGTGTGCCTGTGTGTAAACGGGTGATACACGTGGGTGCCGGCGTGGGTCTCGAGTTCGCGTAAACTGTGAGTGCCCGTGGGTGTCTGTTTCTACAAGCATGTCTTTGAGAGTGTTAGTGCTGCCGCGTGAGCCTGGGTGGGGGCGAGGGTGTCCCTGTGGTGCCTACCGCTCCTGGCTTGAGTGGGGCCTAGGCTGGGGCACTAACGATAAGCAGATGTTGGCAACTGGGTGGCAGCCGCTGAAAAGAATTCCTCGTGGGCCGCTTAGCACAGCTAATTGGCCTTTGGCTGCTGCTGCCTGCTGTCGCAGACCTGGGCTTTTCCAGACCCGGAGCCAAGTGCATACTCAGACCGGGCTTGGGCCACAGCAGGGGAGATTTGGCCCGAGAGGCTGACTAAGGCTTGAAGGATGTCCTGGAGCACCTGGGTTGGGGTGCTCTCCCAGGGAGGCCGAGAGGCCAGGGAGGAGCGAGGAGGGATCGGATCTGGAGAAAGGAAGCTGGCGGGGCCCTGGGCAGGGCAGGCGGGCGTGGGAAGAGTAAGGGAGATGGCAGTGGGTGATTATAGTGACTGTCCTCTGGCTTCCCAGCCGAAGTTCAGATCCCGGCTTGGTAAGGTCCCTGGAAAGGGCAGCTAGCATGGCTCTGCCACCGGGGCATTAGCGCTTCTCGTGTCACTGTGACACCTCAGCCAGCCCGCTGCGGAGCCAAACGCTGTGCAGCCCAAAGTTAAAGATTAACCCCGTGGGCTGGAGTTTAGACTCTAGTCAGCGAAGACGTGGCCACGCTGGTGTAAGGGCCAAGGCCCTCCGGGCCCCTTCTCTCCAGTGCCAGTGTGACCGGGGCAGACCCAGGTGACCTCAGGGTGTGCCCTCTGGGCAGGGGCAGGTGCACAGTGGAGCTCAGCGGGCAGGATGGCCTGGGGAAACAGTCCTCAGAGGGGACGAGCTATGTCTCCCCAGGCTTTCCGGTCCCCCCTTAACCCTCTTTTTCCAGGGACAGGCAGGACAAGCCTCTGTTGGTGGGCTTGGTCCCCTCCGACACGGGCGTCCCAGGCAGATGCCGGGAGGGCGGCAGCTCTGTGCCATCCTGATCAGGCCACGCCCTGCTCCAGTGTCTCTTCCCCTCTCTGGCCTCCACTTTCCAGAGTCACCCCAATACCTGGGCTGGACAGGTTGCAGTCAGGGAGGAGAAAGCGGCAGCTTAGCTCAGGGCCAGCCCTGTGCTGGGGGGCAGGTCCTATCTGCTGCTAGCTTGCTGTGTCTTCTTGGAGCCCAGGACTCTGAGGCTCCACGAGGGAACCTAGGTGTCTTGATAGCTCTTGGCCACACCCATACTCCCTGCAAGCTCGCTTTGTGAGCTGGAGTTTATCACCCTTCCCAGAGGTTCGGCTAAGAGGCCTGAGAGGGGCCGTGCTGGACACAAATGTATGAGCATGGTGGTGGGGGCCCAGGCTCGCCCCATCCGCCCACATGATAGAAACAAAGTGTCTCCCACCCAACAAAGGATGCTCTCACACACTGGACCCAGGCCCTGATGGGACCTGGGGGATGGCCTCAATGCCTCAAGAGGGTCAGAGACCAATTTACCCGGCAGGGGGCTTACTCTTTCCTGCAGACCCTCCGGGAGGCTCCCCTTGGGCCCCGGGCCCCACCCTGACCCAAGGCCGGGTGGAGCCAGTCGTTGACATGGAGATTGACAAGGAAAACAGGGAAAGAAGTGGCAGGAAGTGGTTGGAGTGAGTCAGGGGTGTCCCCCGGGGACATGGTGGGGAGAACGTTCTCTCCACTGAGTCAGGGCTCAGGATACGCCCTGGAGATGCCACGGGCCTCTGTCCAACCTGCAGGATTCCCGGCTGGTTCTAAGAGTCAAACCCCAGCTTCAGCCAAGGTGAGAGGCTCAGGGCAGGGGTTGGTGCCCGGGCTTGCTCCTGCCAGAGCTCAGCCACTGTTACCCTGTGTGACTTTAAGCATGTGACCTGGCCCTTAAGGTCCTAGTTCCTGTCTGTGAATTAGGGACGTAGCAAGGCGTGGCTGGGCTCTGGGATGTGGAAGATGCTTGTTCGTGCACCCAGAAGTCCTGACCATTCTGGCTCCGCTCTTCCACTCTCCAGCTCTCTCACCTGGGCTCTCTGTACACAGGGCCAGGACTGCTGCAGGCTCAGTGCGCGCTGAGTCAGTTGGTTCCCTGCCCCAGGGAAGCTCACGGTCTGGGCGAGATAAGCCCCGTGCACAGCTGCCCATGATATGAGGCAGGAGGCAGGTGTGATAAGAGGTGGCAGGGCAGCCAGGGAACTTCTGACCTTACGGGGAGGGTCAGGTCAGGAAGGCTTCAGGGAGGAGGTGCCACATGAGCCTGAATGAGGAGACCCTGCTAGGGAAGGGCTTTTGGGCACAGGCTAGGGGTCAGCGGGAGGTGATGGCCAGCCTGGGGTCACGGTGGGAGGCTAGGGCTCTCAAGGATGGCTAGTGGTCAGGATTCAGGCCAGTGTCTCACTGTTCTAGAGGGGCTAGATTCCTGGCCATCCCACAGCCTGTGATGTCAGCTCCTTAGGGGGCTCAGACAGAGCACAAACCTCCCCTCTTTGGGGGGGTCTCTCTTAGCGCTGCCAATTCTGGGCCTGACTTCAGCCCTAAACTTGCCCCTTCCCTGGTTTCCTGGGCCTTAGTTTCCCCAACCACAGAGTGAGAGGCCCCGGTGCCACCACTTTTTCCAGGGTTGGGGAACATACCTGCCTCCTCCAGAGTTTGGGGTGGGCCAGGGAAAGGGAAACCAAACTTTTCTAAACCCTGTCCAGCCAGGCCTGCTCAGGGAGGGGGCTGGGGCTGGCTGGTGGTGCCACAGATGGGACCTATAATTACTGTTTCCAGCCAGGACCAGATGAGGGGGAGGGCACAAAGAGAGGCAGGCCCTTTGTGGTGGAGACTTCCCTCCCCACGGAAACTTCAGAGGCTGTTTACCCCCCTGAGAGCCCTCAGAGCAGCCCCGCTGGCCCCTCATTGCCTGCCTCAATTCTGGCCCTAACCAGGGCTCGCCTTGGGGAACCCGCACTGGAAGGGGTGACGCTCTGAGGGAGTGCCTCCACCTAAGGGACTCGAATCGCCTCCCTCCCCAGGCCACAGTGCCCCTCTGCCACCTCAGGCCTCCCCAACCTGAGCTTGGGCCCAGATCCTGCTCCCTGCTTTCTCTAGGGCCCCACCCAGTGGGGCTCTCCCCAGGCAGCCCAAATGTGCCCCCTGACTGTGCCTTCGGGATTGGCTTGGGAAACTTTTCATGCGGGCACAGGAATCCCCCATCCTTATAGGCAGAGCCTCCCTGGGGGTGCTGGTCCCTGTCCTGTGGAAGAGCCAATGGGGGGGCTGAGCCTACACACCTGTGGGTATAGGCAGAAAAATGTCCCGGCCAGGGTCCCCTCAGCTAGGGCCTCTCCCCAGGGACCAGAGGGCCTCCTTGCCCACAGGGCTGCCCAGTGGGGTGAGCACACCCCGAGACTGAGACCCCCAACTCAAAAGATGGTAGAAGAGCCTGAAAAAAGAGCGGTTCCCTTGAGTGCCTGACATCCACCGTCTGCTCAGAGTAAGGAAGGCATTTTAACTGGGAAGAGGCTGCCTCTGAGCTAGCAAGCTCCCTTCATTGGGGGTGTGCACGTAGAATCTGCCTGACAGTTGGCCGCTCCGGGGCGCCTGGCCGTGCGGCTCAGCAGGTCAGCGGGAGGTCCTGTAGCAGGCCTTCTGCTGTGCTGGGCTGTTTCTGGATCCTGGCCAGGAGGATGACCGAGGGTCTTGGAGGCAGGGGTCACGTCAGAAAGGGAGGGATCCTGGAAGCTCTCTGGGCTAGAATCAGAGCCAAGGCTCCCATTGTCCCAAGTGGACAAGCTTAAGCTGCACAAAAACACACACACACACACACACACACACACACATACACACTCACACACACACTCACACACACACACACACACCGGTACTTAGCACAGAGGCACACACATGCAGGCGTGGGGCAATTCTCAAGTCTGGGGGCTCCACTCAGGCCTCGGGACCCAGGAGGGTGGGGCAGGGACTCCTCACAGGAGCCTCTTCCTCTCCCTGGCGGCAGGGCAGGGGCTGCCCGAGTAAGGAAAGGAGGGAGGGAGGCAGGAGGAAGCCATTGCTTTGTGTATTGTTTCTTGTCAGGAAGAAGAAATGGCTTCTGCGAGCAAATAAAGGGCCTTTTGAGACCTGCTCTCTCTCTCACTTGAGGGGCCTCCTTCCCGTCTCCTCCCCACTCCCCGGTCAGCAGTGGCACCTTTGTGTGGGTGTGCGACACACGGACACAATCAGAAATGCCGTCAGACACACAGCATGGTCGTTGTTCAGGGCAACATGCTACACAGAGACACCCCCACACCCCCGCACACCCAGCCCACCTCAGTGAGAGCCGGGACCCTGTGGGGTTGGGGGTTCCCAGAATCAACTGACACATGGGCCAGTGCACAGCCAGCTTGTCTGAATGCCCCATGTGGGCTGAAAAACTGTATATTCTCAAATTTGCATGTGCAGGGTTTTAGGTATTTTCCTTAAATCAAGCACATGCACACATGAATGCCCATGGAGGGGCCACACAAGGGCCCTCTGAGGCCCCCCACTGTGAGTCCTGAGTCTTGGAGGCAGTGGGTATGCGGGGCAGCCTTGTTGTCTCCCATCCCCTATTCTTTTTTGAAAAATATGTTTTTATTGATTTTTAGAGAGACAGGAAGGGAGAGGGAGAGAGAGAGAGAAACATCAATGAGAGAAACATTGATGGGCTGCCTCCTGCATGCCCCCCACTGGGGATCGAGTCCACAGTTGGGGCATGTGCCCTGACTGGGAATCGAACTGGCGACCTCTTGGTGCATGGGTTGACCATGGCAGCAGAGAGGGTTTGAGGCTTATTGCCTGGAGAGGTCAGCCCTGTGCCACTCTGGAGCCAGGACACACTGGCAGCTGAAGAGCCATCTTCTGCCGGCTCCCCAGCTCATGCTGGAAACAGCCAGGTCCCTTGGCTGGGCCTGTGGGTAGCCAGCACCTTGGCCTGTGAGTGTGGAAGGCACAGACCCCAGGACAAGGATCCTGGCTTTGCTGTCTCCTCCCTGAGCCTCAGTTTCCCCACCCACCATCTCACAGAGCCCTTGCACCGGCTGCCCTGCAAGGACCACAAAGACTAAGACTGGCCTGTGGTCCCCCAGCTAGAAAACAAACTATCCTTGGGGTCAGAGAGCTTCCCTGGATCCAGGCTGCCTTCAGAGAGGGGGCAGCTCTAGATAATTAGCATCCTCCATCACTTATGTGACCACACAGCAAATGTCCCCTCCAAGGTCCGGGCAGGGAGATGGAAAGATCTCCCCGCCCTGTCCTCACTGAGCTCTCGCCAGGGAGGTGGAGCACCCCACAGGAGGCAGGAGGTCAGTTCAGTGAGGGCACAGGGTAACCGCAGAAGCCAAGTCCAGCCAGGGACCTGGGAAGACTTCTTGGAGCTGGGAGAGGACTGAATGCACCTTGAGAGGTGGCTTCGGTGGGCTTGGCATGCAAGCTCGCATCTTTCAGGGGCTCCGCGTGGAATGTGTGGATTATTCTGTTGTTTATATTTGCATTCACAAAACTGATGGTGACTTTTTTTGGCGGCCTTAATCAGTGAACTCTCAGACCTAGTCTGGGCAAAACGACCTGGGGGTATGCAAACATATATATATATTTAATAACAAGTGACCACAACTGGGATTGGCCCTACTTTGAATTGTTTTCAACTTAATGGGTTATAAAGAGTAACATATGTTTTGAATTTTTATATGCTCTTTCCTGGATATCAAGTTTCAACAGACCTTTAACTACCCCTTCCAATTCTGAATTATCAAGTTTTTCCAGATGTAAGTAACACAACTGCATTGGCAGTCGAAGGAGAAGTGGTCAGTAGACAGTGAAGCAATCGGGAGGCTTCCTGGTGGTGGTGGTGGTAATGGGTTTTGGGAGAGGAAGGTTACCGACGCATGTGGCTCTGGGCAGTCAGGTTCTAAAGGGCCTGGGCAGTCGGGAAGGGACACCCTGAAGATCCCAGGGCAGGTGGCCCATTCCTGTGGAGACGGAGCACTGGCCATGGCACCAGTCCCTGCTCGCTTTGCTTGAAAAGTGATGCCTCTGGAGAGAGCAGGTGCTGGGATGCCCAGACCTAGTTAAGAACCAGGGGAGGAGATGAGCTCATCCCGGCCGCATCTGTGAGAGGGGCGGGTGGGGCTGGGAGTGTGAGGCAGGAGCCACTTAGAGCAACGGCTCCATTAATCAGCGTGGCAGGGCTGGCTTCAGGCCTCCGGCCAGCTTACAATTAGATGGGCCCTGGAGAGCGGAGGCAGGAGAAGGGGCCCAGAGCTTCCCGAGCGCTCAGACACGAGGGTAGTGGCAGGTGTGAGTGTGAGTGTGACGGGCATCGGTGCAAGCGGCCCTGCCTCGCCAGCCTGACGTCCGTGGAGCCTGTTTCGGCGCCAGGCAGGCCTCACGCCCATCCCCACACCCCTGTGCAGCAAGGCCCCTCCCCTCCTGCCTGTCCCCCGTCCCGGGGTGAGAGCAAAAGAACCAGAACCAGAACCAGGACAAATCCGCAACTCTCCTGATCCTCCTGCCCCTGCAGCCCTTTCCAAATGGCCCAAGACAGCCCCCTTGCCTTTGATCTGCTTTATACTTGGGGAAACTGAGGACGAGCGAAGGCAAGGGCCGTGGTCTCGGCATTGCCCCGCGGGCTGGCTGGGCTGAGGTCGCGGCTCTGGGGTTGGCCCGGAGCTGGGGCTGTGGCGCAGGGGCAGGGATGTGAGTCACTTTCCCCATGACCCAGGGCTGCAGACAAAGGCGGGAAGAGAATTGTTCTCATAAGGCCCTCAGTGTGGGGCTGAGAGAATTCGGGCGGGCGGAGGAGTGTCCCCGGCCGAGGATCTTTCAAAACGCCCCAGTGCCTTGGAGACATTCCCCTACCCTGCTTGAAGCTTCAAGTTCAGGCTCATGTGGACGCTCCAGCCCTGCCCGGGAGGAGGCAGCCTATGTGGCCACATCCAGGCATCTTTGTGAGTTGAGTGGGCCTCTGCTGATGTGGGTCAGCTCCCCTGTGTGGGCACACCTGGCCCCTGAGACCCCCGCATGGGGGAGGGGGAGGGACTCCTGGGAAGGGTCTCCCTGGTGCAGCTGCAGGGGGAGGGCTCCGGTGACCTCACGGCAGCTCCCGTTCCCTTCCTTTTCCATGAGTCATGTTACTAAAAGTGGCCCAGGAGCAAGTGACAGCTAAACGGTGGTGGCGGGACCTATGTGGCCAGAGGGAGGGAGGGGGCTGGGCCAGGAGGGAGAGGGAGGGGGCAGTTAGGGAGGGCAGAGCCAAGAGGAAATGGGACAGAGACCCTGGACCAGGGTAGGGACAGACAGAGGTGGGGAAGGAGATGGAGGTGGGGCAACAGGGGAGACAGACATGAAAGAGAGAGGGACCGAGGGAGCTGGCCAGCTAACAGAGGAGACCTTCCCCAGCTGTGGGGGTTCTGGATGTAGCCAGGGATGGGATAGAGTGTTCTGGACTTTTGGGATAAAAAGCAATGTCTACAGCTGGGCCCTCCCACCCATTTGCTTCTCTTATCCTATGACTGTCCCTGAGTGTCCCTGACCATCTCCTCCCATGCCTGGGCCTCCCATGCCTGGGCCCTTGGCCTATGGCCTTGATCCCTGCAAGCTATGGCCTGGGTGTGGCTGGATGTAGACTCCCCACCTCACCCCAGGCCTCCCTGGTCACTAGGCAGAGCATCCCAAGGTCTAGGCAGGTACCAGGGGCCCAGCTGGTGCTTCCTCAATAGGTGTGAGAAGGGACAAGGCTGGATGGCCACTGCCAGCTCTGTGTATGTGGGCAGGGCCCAGCCCCCTCTGTGCCAAGCCAGGGGCTGACATGATGGGCCCTGAAGGCCCTGAGACACAGTCCCCACCTGCCCTGCTCACCGAGCCTCGCTCTCCTGTCCCCTGCAGCTGGCCTCTGGCGTGAATGCAGGCCAGGGCCTGGGCATTGAGATCATCGCCACCCTGCAGCTGGTGCTGTGCGTGCTGGCCACCACCGACCGGAGGCGTCGCGACCTCGGGGGCTCGGCCCCCCTTGCCATAGGCCTCTCTGTGGCCTTGGGACACCTGCTGGCGGTGAGTGGGGACCTTCCCAGGTGGGGGTGCGGGTGGAGAGAGCAGGGTCAGGCAGGGGCTGGTGGGGTGCCCTGTCATGGACAGTGGAAGGGACCCCTGACTGGGTTTATTCCACGGGGAGGGCATCAGCTCTTCGGGCCTTGTGGGGGGCAGGTTCTGCCCATGAGGGGGAAGCACAGGGACCTCCTACCCATCTTTCTCGGTCCCTATGCCTCTCTTTCGGGTTCTGATTGCCGTCTGTCTTTTTCGCCTGTGTCCCTTTCTTTCTTCCTCTCCCCCTGTCTGGTTCTCTGTCTCCCTCCCTCTGCCCACCCGTCCCTTCTCCTTCCAGATCGACTACACCGGCTGCAGCATCAACCCTGCCCGCTCCTTTGGCTCATCGGTGATCAGTAACAACTTCAGGGACCACTGGGTAAGGGTTGAAGGGCTGCCCCGGAGGTGGGCTGGAGGCTTTGGTGCCCAACCCCGCTCAGCGACGTCTCCCATCACAGAGGCTCTGGGAGGCAGCCAGGGCCCAGGGAATCAGGACACCAGGACCTGAGATGAAAGGGCCGGTGGGGCCGTGCCTTGGCCAGGGTGGGCTGGGCGCCCCCTCCTAGCTCAGACCTACCCCAAGTCACCCAGAAGCATGGCTGAGAGCAAGGCCCAAATCCTGGCTCGGCCACTTTCCAGCGGAGCATGACCTTGGGCAGGCTACTGGCCCTCCCCATGCCTATTTCCCGAGCGGTGACGTGGGGGGTGCGGTGGCACCTCCCTCCCACCCAGGCTGCCGGGAGGCCAAAGGGCCTTGCCGCCTGTAAGCTGAGCTCAGCATGGAGCATGCACTCCATGGACCTGGCTGTTGCCACTGCTGGTGTTTCTGCTTCAGGCCACCCTTCTACCAAACCAGCCTCTGGGTCTTCCACAGCTGGGCGGGGTGGGGCCCCCTCAAGAAGGGGCTGGTCTGACCATGCCCGGCGCGCTGAGCTGGGCCTCAGAGGCAGGGAGATGCCACTACCACATCCTGGCTTGAGCTGGTTGTGGGGAGCACTGGAATCAGGATGTTGGGGTGCAGCACTGCCTGTCTCTGTCCCAGACACAGGTGGGAAAGAAGCTATCCAGCGGGGTGGCGGGGCAGGGGACTCGGGGGTGCTTTGGGTGGCACCTCGACGGCTGGGCCGGACGCCCTCTGAGTGTGTGTGCTCTGCTCTTAGGTTTTCTGGGTGGGGCCGTTCATCGGGGCCGCCCTGGCTGTGCTCATCTATGACTTCATCCTGGCCCCACGCAGCGGCGACCTCTCTGACCGCATGAAAGTGTGCACCAGCGGCCAGGTGGAGGAGTACGACCTGGATGGAGACGACATCAACTCCAGGGTGGAGATGAAGCCCAAATAGAGGGGCCTGGTGCACATCCCCGGGGCTGGGGGCAGGGGCGGG